TGAGTATGCAAAGGATTTTTGGAAAGAAATATCTTGGCTTGTTTTCTCAGCTTACAACAAACTTTTTAGTTTTGAGGTAATTAATGCACTATTTTTAATTTGGGAATCAGGATCAAAGGAGCTGGATGATATCTTAAAACTGTTAACTCTTTTTGGCCTATTTCATCTTCACAAATGTAAAGTTACTTACTGATTGAATGCCCAATTTTAGGATTTTTTGTATTGATTTTAAATTATTTTCTTAATCTCTCTGCTCATCACTTAATAAGAAAGCTGCTAAAACTACTGTATTGATGGAAAAAAATATTGACTTTGATGTAAGGGTTACCTCCTGTGTATTCTTTGAAGTTGACATTTTATGTGTAATTTTCCATTTAAGTTATTTTTTATTTTAATTTATTTATGATTTATTAATTTTTTTTAAAAGATGTTTAACTTTTTATTTATTTGTTTTTGTTGTTTATATTTCATTTTTATTATTCTTTATGTATTTATTGTCTTGTATTCTGGGTGTGTGTATTTTATTGCTATGACTGTATCCCTGTGAATGTTATATCTTCAATAAAAAAAATAACTAATCAATTCTTTTTCCGGCTCAGACTGCATAGGGTAAGCTTAAGGGTCTGTCACGTGATGAATGAACGACTCGAAAAACCCGAAGACTCGATGGATGAACTAATCATGTCTCTTTCCAGGTCAGACTGCATTGGTTAAAGCGTATGGGACTGTCACGTGATGAACGATCTACTCGAAAAACCCGAAGACTCGAGAGATGAACTAATCAATTCTCTTTCCGGCTCAGACTGCATTGGTTAAGTTTATGGGGCTGTCACGTGATGAACAAACGACTCGGAAAACCCGAAGACTTGTCAGATAAGAGGTGAGGTGAGCTAATCATAGACTGAAGACCCAGGTAAACAATTAATTAATCTTTTCTGTTTCTTATTGCAGTTTTGTATTGTTTGTAATAATAGTGTGATCAACGTTTGCGTTAGTAGATGTGTTAGGGAAGTAACACGTAACATTTTAATTGTATTTTGCTAAAATGAACGAAATGACTCGAAAAAAGATTCGTTCATTTTGCTGAACGAGACTCAAAGGTCCGAGTCGGTAAAATGATCCGAACTTCCCATCACTACTGGGAAATGGCTTAAATAAAATCCTTTAAGAGCAACCCAAAACAAAGTAAATCTCAAAGTATAAAATATGTCTCTTTGTAATCATGTTTTGTGATCTGATCTGTATGGACAATTGAAATAGAAATATCTGTGACATCCTTAATCTAGCCTCCATGGGCACTGATATTTTGTGTAATTTGTTTGTCTGTCTGAATAACTATTTGTAATGGTCTTCATGCACAGTTAGAACGTGACAGTGCAATTAGATTTGAACTCTGGCTATGTTAAAGTTGTCAGTATTTAAAGTCGGCATGAAATCAAAATGTAAAATTCTTATTTTTTAATGGAATACTGTAGTGTTTATTATAAATAATTTATCAGTGCACTTCATTTATTTTTTTTTATTCATGTGCCCTCGTAATCTTTAATCAAAAACGTTAACCTCCCCTCCCCCTCAAAACGACTCATCTTCTCTTCCGGTCACGAGCTATGGCGCAGGGGGGGAGCTAGTGACATGAGGGGTAAACACTGGGATAAACAACAGGTGGAAAAGCTGAAGCTGATGCTTCACTTTATAGAAATCAATGCATTGACCAGTGCTGATGCAAGCCATGGGGGAGTACACTACCCTTAAAATTTTTAACGATATTAGGATATTACCACAATATTACTCTTAGGACATCGCAAACAATTTTTTTATGAATATGACTTAACCTGATTGAGGACACGCTTAGTCATTCAGGCAGTCTCTCTCGCGCTGTTAGGCATGTTTTGTGCCGTTGATCGCCCTCGTCGTTGTCTTCCTCAATAAATAAAAACCAATGTAAAATCAGTTCAAACCTGCTGTTGTGGATCTTTTAGAAGTGGAGCCTGTGCTACGACTAGCCATTATGTCTCCTGCTGAGCTGCTTCTCGAGCCACTAACAGAAGTGACCTGACTTCCAGCTCTGGTTTTGGTGCCTTGCGTTGAAACACTAGAATATGTTAACCTCTGCGTAACTCCTGCTGCTTTTCTGCCTTTTGTTGCACCAAGTTTTACACCACTAACACGATCAGGCATACAGGCACCAGGCTGAGGTGGAAGTGGAGGTAAGTCTTTCACAGGTGCGGGTGGGGGATCCTTTGGCAAAGAATAATTTCCTCTGTAAGAATTCAAACCATCGTTTAGGTTCTGCAGGTGGACTCCAACTTCTTCATCAGAATCCAGAAGTCCGTCCGCTGTAATGGATGGGCAATCCTCTACACCCGGATGTACATCTGAGTCTGTTGCCATTGGGAAATAGTCACTGCTAGAAGTGAGAGGGGTCTCCTGAACTGGATGGATGGCCTTGTTACCTGAACATGAAAGTGGAAGGGACTTAGCTGCATCTTGGGAGTGGTCACTATCATCAGAAATGTTCAATGGGCTGGTGTTATTAAAACCCAGTGAGAGTGGATCCTCTTGATCAACAACCGGTTTGAAATGTTTAAACTCACATGGAGAGACCAAGCAGAGGTCAACATCATGGGTAGTATCAAGCAATAGACTCTGAGGTCCAGATGGGCACCCTTCTGGGCCATCGTGAGGTCCCCTCTGGGTGTGAGGCTTCTTTAAAGACAAAGACATCTCTACTTTAAAATCAGAATTGACACGGTGTCCATTGGAATAGGATGTTTCGTCTTCGTTGGTGGACTCGCTCACCATTGGCAGCACTTGTTCAAAAGACATTGACAATGAATCATCAACCTCAGTGGACTGCGGTGAACTTACTTCTGCAGGCATTGAGTGAGTGGTGGTAACAGTGGGAGATATATCAGGCATTATATCCTTGAAAGAGCTAAGAGACAGGAAGCTAGAATGCTTCTCTTTGGAGGAAGTTGAGATGCTCTCTTGGTTACTTTTAGGGCATCCAGACTCTGAAAACTTGGATAATCCCATTTGCTGGCTCTCTGAACAAAGACACATCTTAACCCCAAAACTACTATGATCCTTTGAGGCCCAGGTCTCTTCAGGTGACAACTGATAAGGAGTATGACCAGCACTATTTGGACCTGATCTAGGAGATGTTAGCTCTAACGTCTTTTCATCAGGACTGACACAAACTTCCTCATCCCCAATTGTTGAAATATTATCTTTCAAATCCCCATCGAGCAAAGTATATTCAGTTGGAGTGAGGTCTAGATTCACACAGCACTCATTTTTTATTTTGACAGAGGGTCTTGGAGATGCTGCAGCCTTGCTAGGGTTTGCTATGCTGCTACACCGAGACTGCACACTACCCGTCGAGACATTTTTCAGGTTCCCAGAGTCAACAGTTTGCCTCTTCACAAGTAATTCATGTTGCTCTTGATCCATTTCCAGAAATGCTGCTGTCATATCTTCTGGTGAAGACATTATGGAGTGATTTACATCTTCGGAGTCGGGTGACAACTTCTGATTTTGCTGCTCCTTGTTAGATTTAAATGTTTTTGCTTTGTCTTCAGCCTCTTTGTTCAATTTTGCTTCATTTTTTACATTACCAGGCTTATTTGAGTTCAGTAATCCAGAGGAGGTTTTCTTGATGTCTTTCCCAAGAGACTTTCTCTCTTCGGTTTTGCTATCTAGCTTTGGTCTTCTCATCGAAGAATCCTTGCTACCTAATATTTTTCTCTGTCCATTTTCTTGTTTCTTTGAGTCTGATATGTTTGTTTTTTCATTGCTCATGTCCTTAAAAGACTCCTTTCTTGTAACTAGTCTTGAGGGTTTATGTTTCACATTGCTTTCTACAGATTTCAACTTTTCTTCACTTTTTGGATCATTCCCATTTATGCCTTTGGTTTTGTCTTTTAGTTCTAGATCTCCACGAAGAACTCGGTCCTTTGAAGCACCATTGCTTGGTCTGGATTCATTTTTACCAGATTTGGGACTATCCTGACTCTCTGCAACTATTGGATTCTTTTCTGATTTAGATGTTTCAAAATCTTTGGAGCACACTACAGGCCGCTTAAGAAACTCTAGATGCTTCAGTCTCTCTAGACCATCCATTATCTTTCCTTGTGGTGTAGAGCCAGGGAAGAGAACTCTGATGATTTTCTCCACTGGGTTAGCAGGATGCCAAACAAGCAAAGCACATATAGAGACCAAAGAGGTTAGGTGGCCATCTAAACTCTTGGATTTGGAACTATTATCTGGCCAGCTATTCATGAAAGACTCTACTTCTTTGCTACATTTGACTGGATTTAGGATGTAAATTTCAAGACATCCCACTCCCATTTTCTGGAACAAAATTACTGGTTCTATGGTGCCACTTGAATTGCGTAAAAGTGGTTCTGGTGAGATCTTTAGTTTTTCCAAATGCTGTAAAATAAGTGCTGCTAGATCACTGCTTCGTAGTACATTAGGATCACCCTGAAGTTTTTTTCTATTTGGGGCATTGAGGAAAACCACACCAAGCTCTGGAGAGATTAGATTCTTCACCCATTGCTCCTTTTCCTGTGAGTCAGTTTTATTTTCCTCAAGCTCTGCGACCTTCCTCTCCAACAGGCTGTTAAATCCCGGCAGGTTGTCTGTTCCAACATGTGTAAGCAACACTGAGTCAACACGGTCCAAATGCCTGACGAGCTTCCAGAAGCAAGAGCGTGGATCTGCTCCACCATTGACCAAAACATTGAAGCCATTGACAGCAAAAAAAGCACAGTCGCCTCTCCCTCCTGGAAAGACATAACAGCATGGATGGCATAGCTTGAGAAATCCCACTGTGCCAGGAGGCTCTAAGAGGTCAAATGGAGACTGTGGCTCCAAGGACTCAAAAAGGTGGTCCGTGAACTCCTGAAGGCCCCCCATTTTGGGTAGTACCATTAGAGGATTCACCTTAATGTCAATAATGTTGTGTATGTTGTGCTTCCCTAGCACAGAGTTTTTCCATTTTCCAGTTTTAGGGCAGCTTAATGTAAGGTTTGCTTTGCCATGTATGCTAACTGAATTTAACAGAGCTTGAATCTGTTGGATATGTACAGAAAACAAGGCATGAATTCAAATATATGTGAAAACAGCTATTATATTACTGCACAACAGAATAATTTGTAATGCTCAGAAAAGTCATATTATATACAAAAATGGATAGTTTTTCCATAGCTTATGTGATAACAGTTAAAAGGACATTTAAAACATTGGCATACACATTTACAGGACGACAAACCTCTTCATCTGAAAAGATCTGGGTGAAATCATTTGGAGTGAACTGCCCCGTGTGCAGGACCAGATCCCCAGAGTCCTCAAGAGACTGTCCGGTGAGCACCAGCAGTTTGTGTCGAGGTATGGATGATATCAAGCTGTGGACCTGAATTACAAAAATATTTATAAATTTCAAAAATATTTAAATTAACTATTAAAAAAATTATATGCATATTACATTTCAATTAAATTTCAATCTGTCATTACTGTAAAATGTGCCTCTACAAAGTATTACAAAATGGAGACTAAATGACTTGAAAGTGTATGAAAACATCAAATGTGCAGATAACATATACATACAGTACACACAAACACCCACACATACTTTATATTTATGTATATCTATATATTTGTTACGAATGTTTTGTCAAAATAAAAGAGAGATTAATCAATCATTCATCTTAAAATATTATTATTTTATATATAAAGATTTTAATTGGCTATGGTGTCTAATATTGCCAAGGCACTGTATAATTTTAGCCTTAACATGCAATGTAATTTGACCCTTGTCATTTATTGATTGTCATGTAATACAAACAAATGGAATTGAGGAAGAGAAGGAGATGCCTTTCAGTCACACACCTCAGAGTAGAGAAACCCTTCAGATGGAGTTACTACAACCTTAATGTCCAGTACATCTGAACTGAAATGAAATGTCTTCTGACCTATGATGGGATTGTTGGGAGACAGACAAATTTAAAAAGGGAATTAATCAGAATAAGTACACAAATGTGCCATGCATATGCGGATTTCTTAAGAGCATACATTGATGCATTTCTAATGTACTAATCTTACAAAGGACGGCACAATAAGTTAAGTCAAAGCAAACCGCAACTGCAACAGAATATTCCACTGCTGTTTTTCTAACAGCAGCCAAAGTCTGAACAATTTGTAGAAAGTACTTCCTTCCCGTCTTTCTGCTGCGTCTACTGAAATAGCAGATTAGCCAACCTACAACTTTTACTGTGTGCGGTTTAGACAGTTCTCATTACACAATATACAGAGGGTACAGAAAAGAATCCCCCCTAACTGTTTGTGGACTGCCGTCTTCAAGTCATTCCACAGATTTAAATGGGGTTTAAGTCTGGGCTCTGACTAGGCCATGCAAGGACATTCACCTTTTTCTCTTTCAACCACTGTGTGGTCAGTTTTGCTGTGAGCTTTGGGTCATTGTCGTGTTGGAACGTAAACCTTCTTCCCATTAACAACTTTCTGGCAGAGGGCAGCAGATTTTCCCCATCCATTTTATCTTACCCACCTATCCTGATGACAACAAGTGCTCCAGTCCCTGCTGCAGAGAAACAGTCCCCCATAACAGGATGTTACCACCTCCATGCTTTACAGTAGGAATGCTGTTGTTTGGATGGTGAGCTGTACTGGATTTCTGCCAGACATATTGTTTGGTGTTGGGGCCAAACAATTACATTTTAGTCTTATCTGCCTCAGAATCTTCAAGGTGCTTTTTGACAAAGCTCAGTCATGACTGCATGTGGCATTTCTTGAGTGGCTTTTTTCTTGCAACCCTCCCAAACAAGCCACATTTGTGAAGAATTTGTGGTATTGTTGTCACATATACACCAGGACCACTCTTTGTCATAAATTCCTGCAACTGCTTCAGAGTTGCTGTAGGCCTCTTGGTCGCCTCTCTGACCAGTTTCCTCCTCGCTCTTTCATCCAATTTGGAGTGACATCCTGATCCAGGGACTGTCTGTGTTGTACCAAATACCTTCCACTTCTTAATAATAGACTTCACTGTGCTTCTACACTCTTAAAAATAAAGGTGCTTCAAAAGGTTCTTCAAGTGATGCCATAGAAGAACCATTTTTGGTTCCACAAAGAACCATTCAGTCAAAGGTTCTTTAAAGAACCATCTCTTTCTTACCTTTTTGTAATCTGAAACCCCTTCTTTCGCCACAAAGAACCTTTTGTCAAACAGAAAGGTTCTTCAGATGTTAAAGGTTCTTTATGGAACCACTTAGACCAAAAGGTTCTTCTATGGCATCGTGAAGCACCTTTATTTTTAAGAGTGTAGGCATTGATAAATCCTTTTAATTTTTTTGTATCCATCTCCTGACTTGTGCCAGTGCAGTACTTTATCCCAGAGATCTTTTGATGGGTGCCCATAGTTGATTGTTTGCTTCAGTTGCACTACCAAAGACTTAAATGCTCCAGGAAAGCTCTTTTCATGCTGAGCTAATCAAAATGACCACAGCTGATCATAGTTGAAAGTTAAATGGATTTGTGTGCCATTGAGAAGGTGATTAGCTACACCTGATTGAGTTTACAATTCATTTTTAGGAGGGGGTGATTCTTTTTCCAACTCAGTGATTCTGTTTTTTTTCTGACATGTTGGTGTTATATCTTTCACTTGGATGCTATAAGTTGCACTGAGTAAATACAGCTGGCTAAAACAAAAACTCATTTCATTTCAGGATGCAAAGCAACAAAACGCGATTATTTTGAAGGGGGGTGATTCTTTTCTATACCCACTGTAAATATTAAAATTATAATAAATTAATGATTATGACCCAGTAAAGCAAAGAGAACATACTTCTGCATTTTTACATCAGAGTGGCTGTAATTAACAGATGTTTGAGTTTCTACATGTAAACTAAGCAAGGAACAGATTTACATAAACATTTTTTTGATAAAAGTCCATATTAAGACTTTATTTCAAAACAGATTTACATGCTCAGTGGATACTGGAGTTTCCCTGTATTTATGGTAATCAGCATATTCTGAATAATGTAATCCATTAATGTTCGTTTTCTGCTATTCTTGTGTTTGCATGACCCATAATTCTTTTAATATAGGAATATGCCAGTTGTCATTCTCAGATGTCTAGAAATTGACATATTGGCTTAATATGACCATATTCCATTATTTACTAGAATAATGTTGTGCATGTCTGATACTGTATATGGAGCTGTGCTGGGGTTGCTTCTTTGTTAATTCATATGTTCGCATCCCACACATACATCATGTGCTCCAAATGGGCACCAAAAGATTGCCCAGTGTTCTTTAAAAGTGTAGCCTACTGTACTTGAAGTTCACATCTTTCACTGCCAACCCAAAAGAAGGCAACCCTTACCTCTTATGTCTTTGGGCTGATAAGAAGAATGGTGAGAAACGAAAAGCTTTAGTTGCTCATCCAAATTACACACTGTCAGGTCCACATCCCATGCACGAATACCTGTGTTAAAGTGATGCAAATATATGTAAAATTTAATATAAAATCCAAACTCAGTATATTAAAACATGTGCTAATGTATTTTTTTTAACTTACTGTACTGGGTTTATTATAAAAACAATAAATGTTGATTTAGGAGAAAGCAGGCTAAACCCCCCAGAGCAAAAGCACTGCAGTCAGCATGTAACTGAAACATCATGTGAGACACAATGTGGCTTTCAGAGACAAATGAGATGGCTGGCTGACTGGCCCTCAAAAAAATCCTCGTTTTGTGGCACTGGTCTTCTGTACTCATAAAATTCAAAAGCCTCTGAACAGCATGTTCTCATCTCTTATGACCAAAAAAAAGAGAAGCCGACTCATCACTGCTAGGACTGAAATAAGAAAACATCTAACAGTGTTGGCATAAATAGCAGAAAAATCAGGTACATTTCCTGAAATGGATAGGAAGGAACAGGTGGACTAACAATAAACTAAAGTAATATTGCAATATTGTAATATTAATAAGTACATTTAAAACCTGACAAATTACTCCTGTGTGAGGCAAAACCTAAATGAAAGGGTTTTATTCCTCCATATTTGCTTTCATTTAATTTTACTGTGAACTGTTAATCATCTTTCTTTGTAGACAAATTTCCATTTTTGTCTGATCACTACCATGGAGACAGGCTCTTTGATTGCCCACACATCTGTCAATATTTGACATGTCGTTGAAGCCTTCTATAGTCACATTAAAATGGTACCAAAAGATCACTTTTCTGTTACTGTTATTGAAATGTGGAAGACTGTCTTGCTGGAAAATCCATCTTAAAGCTGTGTTTTGTAGCATGTAGCTGGTTTTTAGCTGGTCTAAGATGATTATTATTTGGCTAGCTTAGACCAGCTAGACACCAGTGATCAAAAACACAGCAACTAGATTAAAGGGGTCAAATGATGCGATTTCAAGTTTTCCTTTCTTTTTGGAGTGTTACAAGCTCTTGGTGCATAAAGAAGATCTGTAAAGTTGCAAAGACTAAAGTCTCAAATCCAAAGAGGTATTCTTTATAAAAGCTAAAAGTCAGCCACGCCTACCTAAAATGGCTTGTTCTAACACGCCCCCAGGGTGCGAACTACGGGGGAGCTAGGGGGAGCTCGGCTCCCCTTAATAAGACATGGGCTCCCCTGAAAACGTGATTTGTGAAATTTTGGGGGGTCTCAAAAAATATTGACAATGTGTTATTTTGACGTGCAATTTCAGTTTTGTGTAATGTGATCATCGTGGATTATTATGTGTAAAATTGCAAAAATAGAATTTATTCATGCATGACGCCGATTTAAACCTAATTAACTTCAATAAAGATAACTAGGCTATACATACAATTCTTGTCATGAGCATCAAGGTGTGGGGGCGCTGCGGTGCATAATTCCACTCATGTTTAGTACATGTTAACTCAAAGATTCGTAGAAAAAATATAAACGTTGGACTCTGTGGTCGATTCTGTGTTAAGGTAAGGCATGTTATTTGCAATTATGTGTTGTGGCTGGCTTGTTATAGGTCTGCGTGACTCTCGATGTCTTAGGTCTAACTGAACGGAGGAATTATGGTATTCTTCTGTAGCCTGACGACGAGTAACTTTAACCGTTGTTCATGTGAACTCAGACAGCCTGATGCTTTGTTTATAGACTGTTTGTGGGTGGCTGTTTGTTGTTTCACCTATCAATTCGTGTCTATATAGTATAATAGGGTAAATCCTGTATAGTGATTTATCCTATATAGTGCTTGCATAAAAGCAAGTAGTGCATACACTAGCTGTTATGTATCTTTGTAAATCATTGTAAGCCCACGCGCAAGCGCACGCCCCAATGTGTCATCAGGCTAATGATGGCCACTAAAAGTTACATGCAAGCAAAAAACGATCGCTGAGGTGGGTGTAAACGTGCAGATCCGAGTCTAAACTGTTGGGTAAGAAGAACACGTAATGACTGAAACGACACATTAGTTTTTTTATAGCTCACATACTGAACATGTAAAGCAAATGTAGTTAAGCATACAGGAAAGGCTGATGCACAAGAAAGCTATTTTTTATGTTTACGATCTGATATGCTATAACACTGCAGTGCAGGAAACTATATATATATATTATGTATTGCTGAACGCGAGAGAAACTGTCTGGCGCAGTAAAGTCACATATTGTGTGATTGTGCTTCAGTCATCTCAATTTACCAGGCAATCAGTAAATCTTAAAATCAAACAAATTAAATATACTAAATGCTCGCAACCTGTTCTACAACATACAAATACGAGAGATAATTGTAATCCCTGATGTAATATTATAAAAGCATTGATACGTTATTATTTAATTATTCTAAATCCAAAATGTAAAAAAAAGAAAAAGAAAAAAAGAAAGCAATACCTCGTTCAATCTCCACCACAATATAGTCCAGTATATGCGGTCTATAGAGCGCACCGATGACAATCAACACTGAGTATTTGTCATTGCTGAATCCAGGATGGGCTGTCAGGTCCTCCGATTCCATCACTGCTGTTAGACCCGACGCCATGTTGGAAAGTTATTCTTATGATGTAATACACAAACAAGCAAGCATTATTGAAGGAACAGGCGGATAATTTGAATGGAACTGCAGCTGACCAATCGAAGTCGGTATTCAGACCGCCTCGTTGCATGCATCACTATTATCAGCAATCTGAAATGTGTGTGTGTGTGTGTGTGTGTGTTTAAGGAATGCATTTAACAGCCTATATAATCATATTGATCTGTGAGTGAGGGGATATATATCCTCATTCAAGTTCTGTACATACTGTAGATAAGCAAAACAAATAAACCATTCAGTAGTTCATGACTTTATTTTGAATTTCCATTCATTTTACACAACATTAATAAGAAAAAATGAACTGCAATGTCTGAAGCAAAAGGCAATTAACAGCATCAGGGAAAATTGTAGATTTTTCTCCCAGATATCCTTTTGTTTATAGGCATTTCAAAATAAAAAAGTGGCATGATGTTCCTTGTGGACAGCCGCATAACTTGCCAACTCTTGCACCTTTACGTACTGCACACTGCTCACCTGCATCACACTTTAGATAAAAAGAACACATGTGAGTAATGAAATGGTCAGTGTAATAACAGTGCATGAACAGATATTGCAGTGCATGATTTCATGGGTAGCCTACATCTGAGTATCTATGCAAAGTCATTACAGCATTATGTTAACATCTTCGCGATATACATACTCATGCTGTCAACTTCATACTCTTTGTAAATGATTCAATTCAAAGTGAATCAAAGTGAAAAGTTGCAGTGAACTTATGATTTTACTTAAAGCCTATCAGAGAATGCAGTCACTTAATTATGATCAAAAATAATTTCCACATAAGTGTAGAGTTGAAAAAAGAGTGTAAATTTTCTCCATTTGTGTGAAATGCAACATTACCGAAGGAAGTAGGCTAAACTTTTTTCCAGTTTGTGGCAGTTGTTTATTCTTTAACTTCTCAAGAACCTCTTGCAGTGCCTCTATCTATAAAATAATTACAATTTTAGATCCATTTCCTGAGATTATTCAAGATGATTGGTTATTTTCCAATGTTCCTTCATGAAAGACAGGGTAAAATGCATAACTCACCAAATTGTTCTCCTCCTGTGTTTTTGTGGCACTCTCCAAAGAGCGACCGTCAAGTGAGTCATCACAGCTTGTGAGAATGAAAGACAGGGCAGAAGCAGCAGCAATAAGAACGATCCGTCCGCTAACCATGGTGCTGAAACAAGTTTCCTTGGTCCCCACAGCAGAAGATGGTCAGTGGTCTCATGGTGTGATGAAGAGCTGCTCTTTATAAATGGATTCAACATCACCTGCTACAAAATTCATGATGACAACCCTCAGTGACACATGTTAAGCTCATACAAGGCCATGTTCCCATATCTCTAGTAGTTTGTGAGGGGGAAAAAACAAAATTCCTAATAATGCAGATGCAGTTTGTGTTCTAACTTGGTGTGACCATGCATTCTGTATATATGTCTGCTTATCTTATGCCTATGTTTGTACGCTGTTATACATCAGGAATTTCCTTTTACAGACTCAGGGACCGCACCCAAAATTTCAGAAAACCCAGGAACCCCCAAAAGCTTTCTGTAACACTTTACTCTAATTTTCATGAGTACCATAATTAATTTTACATAATATAATAGGCCTACTTAATTGTTAGTTAAATTCACATAGTTTGACAACTATAGGAAACTTTATCTTGTTGTTTCTGTTTTTACATTTATATGCTGATCTGTTATTTGAAGTGTTATTTAATTTCTTAGTTCTTTTTTAAAGAAACTTCTATATATTTAGTATTAGCCTATATCAATGTAATACATTCACGTACCATCAGGGGTTGACAAACCTCCGAATAAAGTCCTAAATAACTGTGTGGCCCTTTGGGCTGATATCCAAAGTAAATAACCAAAGTAACTCATTTAAAAACTTTTTAAAAAATGTCATTATAATTTTTAAATAAAATTACTTAAATGAATAGATAAATTACTCAAGATATGTGACAGACAAACTCCGGAGGACTGCATGATCTGGATGATTGTGGGTCAAGTCCAATATTGACACTGATCTGGCAAGGAGGAACAGATGATTGGGGGCATGTATGAAGAGTAACCAGGGTCAGTGGCGTTTCTTCAGGAACTAATGAGACAACCTATAAGGAAGAGACCCCAAGGCAATGGATGTCTGGGGTAGCAGAACAGTGATGGAGTAATTCTTCCTAATTCAGAAAATTAGGCTACTGAAATGCTTACATTTATTTATTTATTTATACGCCAGATGCTCATTACAAAACATAAGAAATAGAAGTAGGCAAAACAATTCTCAAATATTTTAATCAAGTGAATATTGAGGAAAGTTGAGAAATATCAAAATGTAGAAGTTAATGACCTACAAGATTTTAATCGTCGGACTTATTCATTGCTTCATTTTACAATAGGCTACTAACTTTCTGATTATTCTATGGAGCGAGGTGAAGAGCTATTAGCCAACTCAATATGTTTGCAAGGCCATATGGCTATTAATGTCACTTGATAAAGGATTAAGATGATAAACACATTGTCAACAGTTGATTTATGGTCGTACAAACTTTGTCAAACTATAATCTTATTCAACTGATGTAATCACGATAGCCATGATTGAGCTGATTACCATGCAAAATGGTGTTCCTCTAACAATCAAGTAATCTTCCGCACAGTGTTTCGATTCACAGCTCATCTTTATTTTGTTTTGTATTTAATACAAATAAAAAAAGTGCACTTAAAGGGGTCATAGGATGCCCATTTACCACAAGCTGATATGATTCTTTAGGGTCTTATTGAAAAGTCTGTAACATAGTTTGGTTAAAATTTCTCAATGGTAGTGTAAAAAACACCTTTTTTACCCTGTCAAAAACAGCTCTTTTCAGATCAAGCCGTTTTTGTAGCATTTTCCTTTAAATGTTAAAGGGGTCATATGATGCTATTTAAAGATCATTATTTTGTGTATTTGGTGTAACGGAATATGTTGACATGCTTTAATGTTCAAAAAACCCATTCTTTTTCAAATACTGTACATTATTGTAGGTCCTCTATGCCCCACTTCTCTCAAACATGTTGTTTTCAATGAAGCCCCCCTCCTTTGACAAGCGCAGTCTGCTCTGATTGGCCAGCTGACCCAGTGCATTGTGATTGGCCAAACACCACAAGCATGCGTCGGAAATGTAACGCCCCTTACCATAATCGCGAGCGTCAGCTTTCAAAATAAATATCAAGACAGTTAATAATGTTGTTAGTTTTACCATCAGTTCAAGCCTGAAAGGGAAACAGAATCGCGTGACACACACAGTGATGATGCAGTACACAAGCCGCGGTTAAGACAGCTGACATGCTATCATTAATAACAAAACATACTTACAGTCGCTGATTCAGAAGCGCCAGATTGTCATAGCAAAGTCGGAATTGACCCTTTTTTTTTAGAAATAGCCTTTGTGCACAGCCAGCCTTGTACTCTTCTAGGTTCATAAAATCTCGTCCATAAAATGCGTTGCACAAATTCGAACATCTGGGTTGTGCTGAGTCTTAACTTTGATAAAGAATATCTCTTTGGTTTCGAGACTTTAGTCTTTGCAACTTCAGGGATCTTATCTATGCACCAAGAGCTTGTAACACTCCAAAGAGAAAGGAAAACTTAAAAACGCATCATATGACCCCTTTTTTTATTTTGTGTATTTGGGTATATATTATAGACTAAATACATTTAAAATACATTAACAAATGTAATTTTGGAGAACACACTTAAGTTGAAATTAAAATCAAATATTTTACATGTGCTTTAGTATACTGATAAATATATCAAAATAAGTCTACTTATTTAAAACACAATAAAATCATAATTATGTCAAATGTATGTTTAAGTAATACTTAATTAGACATTATTATAAAGTGCATTTTTATAAAGTGCACTTAAGTATGTTAAGACCTATTGTCATTAAAGTGTACTCTCTTTAAGTACACTTAAGTGGCCTTTAATTTAAATTATATTATCTGCAAGTGCACTTTTTAAAAAGTATACTTTTAAGATTTGAAGTACACTTTTAATACAATTAAGCACACTTCTTTTACACAAGGGACATTATCGCAATCTAACATAACATTAACGCTTAACAGTTTAAGCTCATGATATCTGGCCATTATCACCGAAACCACTGAAGTTCGTGTCATTTTAAATGTAGTTATTAGTTTTGATGTAATCACCGAATGTGTACCTTCGTGATCATCGTAATGGCATGCCCGCACATGTTCCTGTCCTCGTGCTCGGGCCTCATGAGGAGGTGCAGATCTCACCACCAGATGGAGCGCTGGACAAAGAAGACAGTATAACGGGCTCATGGGCTCATGACTGTCTGATAAATGCTTTTCAAAATAGTCAGGCAATTAATTACATAAATGAATTACGCAATATATGCAGACGGTTAAGTAATGTTTCATATATTTTATTACATTAATTAACCTTTTTTAATTTATCTGAATGTATGTGTTTGCATGTAGCAGTCTAACATATATAAGTTCATATTATGATGTATTTTTACTGATTATTTCATGTGCAAATATAACGTATTTTGCACAAAACAAACAAACATAAAAATAACAAAATAATTAAATAATTAATTAAATGTTTAAAAAGTCATGCAAAAAAAAAAATAAACATCTATATTATCATCAGGAGAGTGGGGACAGTTGCAACATGGCTTATTTCTTCAATCAGGAATGAGCTACAGTGATGATATTCATACTGCACATGCTCAATTAACCCCACATCCTTCCTGAAAGAAATCAGCCATGTGACCATTCCATCAACAAAAATGAATTTTCAGGGTAAAAAAGTATTTTTTTATGATCAGATTTTTTTGTCATACATGCCGTTTGCATGAAGCATTTTAAAGTCATATAATTTTAATCAGTGTTTTCTTAGCTTCTCATAGGCATAGCATGTGCCAAAGATATTGTGTCAAGCTAATATACCAAGTTTTATCATGGCTGCCAGTGTAGGGACAGTTGCAACACGTTGTTGCAACCGTCCCAACATGCTGTCCCTTACCACAACATTGATGTAAAAGCTTGGCACAAAATTTTAATTTTATGGAAGAATCCATTTCAATAGTTGGGTATCTCTCCTTCAAGTAAATATGTTAAAAATCAGTTTGAGTCTAAGGTGGACTAATTTTCTTCACTCTCACCCTCTCTTTGTCACACACATACATCACATGCACACACACACACACAAACACTTATAAAGTCAGTTACATAAAACTGTAGATTTGTCTAATTAGAATTTTTAAAAGTAAGACTGATTACCTGGTTAACTGCTAGTTGGTCAAAGTAGTTCTTAAGACAGTCTTAACAGTGGCTATGTTTATGCAACTGGCCCTAGTTCAGGATATTTTCACAGAAGTTAACATTGTAGGCTATTATTAAATTTCAGTGTCTTGATTTTGATTAAATTAATATTTTGCAGTTAAAATGTATTGTAATAATTAACCAAAACATGGTTGTTACTTGTTTTTGCCACTATTCTTTGTTTTTATACAGCCAATTTAACTTATTGAAGACTCTGTCTGTGCACTAATAAAATGAAGAAATCGCAAAATGAAATTTAAGAATGAATGTTATACATTATACAATATACATTTTAATGAATGTTGCAACTGCCCCCGTGGACTGTTGCAACCGTCCCCTGTTGTGGGGTCAGTTGCAACATTTGACTGTCTATTCAAGAAAAAATTGTTCTTCCGCACAGTGTTTCAATTCACAGCTCATCTTTATTTTGTTGTAACACCCCTTGTGAAAAAAAAGTGCACTTGAAGGGGTCATAGGATGCCCATTTACCACAAGTTGATATGATTCTTTAGTGTCTTAATGAAAAGTCTGTATAAGAAATCGCAAAATGAAATTTAAGAATGAATGTTATACATTATACAATATACATTTTAATGAATGTTGCAACTGCCCCCGTGGACTGTTGCAACCGTCCCCTGTTGTGGGGTCAGTTGCAACATTTGACTGTCTATTCAAGAAAAAATTGTTCTTCCGCACAGTGTTTCAATTCACAGCTCATCTTTATTTTGTTGTAACACCCCTTGTGAAAAAAAAGTGCACTTGAAGGGGTCATAGGATGCCCATTTACCACAAGTTGATATGATTCTTTAGTGTCTTAATGAAAAGTCTGTAACATAGTTTGGTTAAAATTTCTCAATGGTAGTGTATT